CGTAATGTTATCTTTAAACATTTTATTAATGTATCAGTTTAAATTGATTCAAGGGAGTTTTTAATGACACATAATGCCTCAGAATTGCTTTTATTTTTATTCTTCAAAAGCTTTGAATTTGGTGTCCTGATATAGTTTTCAAAAAGTAACTCTTTGCAATTACCTGGACCATCATTTGCTTTTGTTTTAAGCAGTTAGTAAAGTTATTTTGATAAAGTAACTTGTATGAAATATATTTTGTTTAAATTGTGTTACTTTTATGATAAATAATTTATTTACTGCACTTCTTTCTTCATGTTATAAGCATGTGACATGCTCAAAAACCATTATTCAAATATCAAAGAAAACTTGTTTCTGAGGCAAGATGTGTAAAATTCCTTTCACAAAAAGCCTTTCACTTCTCTTAGAAAAGCCATGGTTTGCATTGTGCATGGCAGGTAGTAATACCAGAGTAAACAATATTAATGCAATTTATCTGTGTTGAGTATTCAGTAGCAAAACACTAGCTTGCTAGCCCAAGTCTGTCTCTTAAGAAGACATGCAATTCTGCATTCCTTGAAAGATTTTAGTGTCAGAGGGACAGTTATTACATACCATATACTTCTTTGTGTTTCAAATTACCTGTAATATAATGTATTTAACATGTTGACATTTGACCAAAAGTGAATTAGCTATACAAAACATGCAAAACTTAGGGTTTGCAATTGATACAATACAATTACATCACTGATACATTAATATACCCAAATTGGGAATTTTTCAAAATTGTCAATGTTTCAAAGAAAATCAATGCTTTTAACTTCTGTCCATGTACATAAAAGTAAATGTAGTCATTGAAGAGTTATAAAGAACCATTCATCAATATTATTTAGATAGTGTCTGTTTCGATTTCAGGCCAGACAAATTCAAATGACATGCATAGTATTTACTGCAATCTAGCCATTGCTGTTAGAGAATTTAAGTACACACTTATTTTGCAGATGAACTTTTATGATCAAGAAAAGCAAATAGAAGAAACAAAAAACCGTTTATAAGTTTGATTAACATTTATTTTTACACAAATTATAGTCCACTGCTTTGCAAATATATCACACTGATTTTCCAGTGGAAAAAAACTTCAGGAAAGCACTTGAAATTATTATTAGTTATTTGGACAATGTGACTTTACACTGTGAATGTCTACTGATACAAGAATAGGCATATTTCCTTTTACAAATGTAAAGACTTTGAAAATTTACATGAACAAATTATCGTGGAGTTATAAATCATATTCTAATTGAAAAATGGTCAGCTTGGTATCAAAGCTTTGAATGCAAATTTGTAAGCTTATCAATGATTACGCTAACAATATTAGAAGTAGATGATATATAATATTTTTGCTATTTTGTTTTCTTTTTCATCTTTACATCATAGTCATTTAATGTGATTCCATGAAAATCTTTATCTCTGGTGTGTTTTCTACTTTGGTATACTTAAAACTGCAATGAAATGTGGATATTTCACTCTGTTTCTATCATTGTGACATTAACAAGTTTATGGAATCATAGTGTCAAACACTATAAAATCATACACTTTTACATTAAGATTTTTGTGCTGAATGTCATCCACTTTCTTCAGAAAAGGACATTTGACTATTCTCAGTGGCTTATATATATATTAAACTAATATTTCACTGTAGCTGTGTGTTCTCTGATATTATTCTCAAATTAAGGAACTTGAAGATGGTAGTTGCAATAAAGTTCTTCCTGGACAAATTTTCCTTCATCTTTTCCTTGTTATCTGCAGAAAGAAAAATCAATAAATATGTTGTTATAAGTGTAAGACCTGAATATATTTCACTGAATAAAACACTAGAAATGATATTTACATTACTTTTAATAAGCTGGCCATGATTGACAGAAAATTTCATATTTGAAGTAAATAAACATTAAAGATAAACAACAACACATAATATATAACAGTCAAAAATATTTATCTTCTTCAATTTGAAACATGACTGTTTTGCATGTTTTATTTACTTATCAATTATCATGCAGTGAAATCAAAAAATTATTAAAATATTTTTTATCTTTCCAATCTCAACTAAAAAGTAATCAATTATTTTACATGTATTTACCTTTGATGTATAGATATTTCAGGATCATAGGCAGTGCAAACAGTTGATAAATGGTCCATAGTGAACATACTTGTCATATACTTCCCTGTCTACACATCTGAAATAGTTTATTCAAATATTATATTTTTTAATTCAATCATAATTTGCTAGGTACCATATTCACATGTATATATAATTGAAAAAGTTTTAGTGCCTTGATACTATTCTCCATAGCTAGAAATGGATCTATACTATTAAACTTTGCATACATCTATGATCTATCCTTTCTGATTTAATTATCAAAACTCTTACTTTGGACCTGGGGTTTATTATAATACCAATATAAGTGTTGAAATTACTGTGCAATGTCCGAATTTTGTATAACTTTAATATACACTAGAATTAAAGCGTTTCTCCATTGTTTATTTCAATAAGTAAAAGTGGTTTGAATAAATTTCTCACATAAGTAGTTTTAAAACAATACCAAAAGCTAAACAACTAGAATTCACTACCTTGACAAAACATCCGAAACAATTGTCACTATCCGAAAATAAACTAGTTTTATAAAACTCTATAAATCCCTCGGTTTTTCGTCAGATAATTGACCTACCTGAATATTTTTACCCGTGCTTTCCATTCCTGACAATCTGAAGAGGTTCGAAACAAATTTAACTTCTATATTTCTCGAGTTCTTCGGGGTTACCTATATGATTAATGGTAAATATGTCTGCCGATGTACCCGGAAGTGGAAAATCGAAAGTGAAAGTAAACGAGACTTACGGGCCCTATATAAGTATTGGAATTAGTGACAAATCCGATACACGTCTATATAAATCAAGTACCCCTTGGGTAGGCCAAACGTATAGAGTTCCCTATAAAGTACATCATCCTTATGCATGGTTTGTTCGTATAAAATGCATATGTAAAGCGGCATTATCCTCCCAAATAGTGTAATTAGTCTTATCTTTACTTGCAGACTGCCGTAAACAACTTGTTTACAACTCTTGCATGAAAGCACTATGGAATGTTTGACGTGAAGTCATTTTGCCAAGAAAATATGATGGCTACCCCTAACAAGAGGGCAATGATGGCCCTGAGGTCGCTCACCTGTATAAAGGCACCCGGAGCGGGGCCAGTTTAAACCCCAGGGCGTTTATTTAAACAAACTTAGAAAACACCCATTAGAAGATGTTTCACCATGTTAAGTTTTTACTACACATATATAAGGAAAAACAATGATCTACTCCCCCCCCCCCGTCAGGGCCAATTTTCTTCCAGGGGCTTTTATTTGAACAAACTTGGTAGACACCAATAAGAAAATGTTTCATGCTACACATGTAAGCTCTAGCTCATTGGGTTTTTTAAAATAAGATTTACACATATAGTTAAAAACAATGACACCCCTGGGGCGGGGCCAGTTTTGACCCCAGGGCTTTTATTTGAACAAACTTTGTAGACACTCACTAGAAGATGTTTCATGCTTAATATCTAAACTCCAGCTATTTTGTTTTTTTTCAAAGACGATTTTTTAAGTTTTTGCTTTACACATATAAGGAAAATCAATGACCCCCTGGGACGGGGCCAATTTTGACCCCAGGGCTTTTATTTGAACAAACTTGGTAGACACCCATTAGAATATGTTTCATGCTAAATATCTTACCTCTAGCTCTTTGAGTTCTTTAATCGAAGATTTTTTAAGTTTTTACTATATGCATATAGGGAAAATCAATGACCCCCTGGGGCGGGGCCAATTTTGACCCCAGGGCTTTTATTTGAACAAACGTGGTAGACACTCATTAGAAGATGTTTCATGCCAAATATCTAAGCTCTAGCTCTTAGGGTTTTTTTGAAGAAGAATTTTAAGTTTTTCTTATTGGTTGCCATGGCAACCAGAGTTTTTAATAGAATTTAAATTTTTGAACAACTTTGAAAGTGGTCCACCTAAGGATCATTTCTGTAAAGTTTGGTTGCAATTGGCCATGTGGTTTAGGAGGAGATGTTGTTTGAAAATTTGACGCCATTTTTTGAAGGACGCACGACGTACGACGGACGCAGAGTGATGACAAAAGCTCACCCTTGAGCACTTCGTGCTCAGGTGAGCTAAAAAACAAGACCATTTGTATGTGTGAACCATTTCACTCATAGCAAAATTACCTCTTTGACAAGATAACTCAATTTAAATTGTAAGTCAATGGGAAAATAAAAAAGTAAGAATGACCATTTTCTCGAAAAATGAGCGGGAACCTCCACATCGGAGAGTGAATTCACTAAATACGGGAAAGGATAAAATGTGCCGAAATTTAATAAAACAATGACACACATGCGTACAATTAGATAAAAACTTATGTTAATTAATCAAACGAAAACTTACTTTAGAGAAGACAGGTAATATAAGTAAATAAAACATCAGCATAAACATGATTGATTAAAACGAAATCATGCAAGACTTTTTTTTATTTTTACATGATCATATCTTTGCGCTAAAATCAATCCTTGCTACTTTTTTAAAATTGGTGTTAAAATTGAGGATTTTCAGCCGCTATGTAAGATCCAATTTGATTGGCCAAATAAACGTTTGAGTCCAGCTCAGACAGGATAATCATGTAAGTAACTGGCAGCCAGGCCTTGGTTAAAGTTTGGATAGATTTGGAGTTTAAGCTGGTTTTTCCTAAGTAAAATCCTTACGTTAAACCGCAAGCCGACACAAGACTTGTGACCGAATTGCCTTTTAAACAAGCTCATAAAATGAATTAATGAATTGAAATATTTGAATATATTCCTGCGTCTATGCTCATCGATCTAATTACTAAAATGTAACTAACACAGATGCAAAGACCGACGAGTCGGTCATTATAAGAGATGCGCATTTTATTCAAAACTGGAACTTCAAAATCAGCATTACAATTTACTTTTCACTTAAAAAGTTAAATATATACTTACAGATTACATTCACAGTTAAATCTTTGCTTTGTGATGAACCACCAGTCCTTGTTACTGTACATCTGTATGTTCCAGCATCTGATCTCTGAAGTCTCTCAAGATTTAATAAAGCTGAGTTACTAACAATTTTTCCTGTATCTGTCTTAGTCCACGTAAAACTACAAATAGGATGACATGATGCTGTACAAGTTACTTGATTAAGACTTTCATTTTCATCTTTCTCATAGCTTGTATCACTTGGACTAAACGCAACATTATCTGGACCATCTGAAGATATATTACAATGTATTTACACATTATTGTAAACTTATTAGTACTTAGCTATTAATATTAGTTTTTTCAATATTTGTTATATTTAAAATAATTGATTACAATGACAACAAATCATACAAACAACATTTGAATTAGTTCTTGTATTAGGATTCTAGAGATTGTTACTGTCTTAGTCCACGTAAAACAACATGTAGAATAGCATGATGCTGATTGAGACTTTCGTATGATCTTTTTCATAGCTTGAATCACTTGGACTAAACACAACATTATCTGGACCATCTGAAATCTTTATGTTACCTTTGCTCATTGCCCTTATATTAGGGCAATTCTGATCATCAATGTCTGAACATATAGAAATGATCTAGTCTAAAACTACATATACGAAGATGACAGGTTACAAATCACTTGATTGAAATTCTTATTTTCATTTTTCTGATAGACTGCATCACTTCGACTAAATATAAAATAATCTAGACCATCTGATATTTATGATATTAGTCATTTTTGGCAGGTTATGAAATATGAATAATATATATAAATGATTGTTTGGAAAAAATCACCTGAGTCGCTATATTGCAAAAAACCGCTTATATACGGCCATATAACCTGTCATTGGCGTCCGCGCCGAAGCGCGGCGCCTTTTATGGAATGAAATCAGATTTTGTGAAAGGGCGACAGCAACTTCTCGAGCCTTTTATAGTTGTTCATAATAAAAGCCGATCATTCCGATCGGTATGAGTCGATATGTACAATGAATGGCGAACTGGAGAATTTCGCAATGCAAACATTTTCAAATGAAATAACCTTTTCCGTCAATAAATTGCGCTCTTCGGGGTATTTTGTTTATCATTTTGTAGTACACAGTGGGTTATTATTGTATGTTATTCCGAAAGCTGTTAATAGAATGATGAGTTGATGACCTAAATATTCCGAAAATCTATTTATAGAGGGATGTACTCCTATCGGTAATTCCCGGTCTCTCCCGGGATTTACTAGAGACCGGCGAATAGTACCACACGTTTATTGTCCGGTCTCCCGGTTTTGGAGTAGATGTTTGATATCGTTACAGAACAGAACAAATATTTTACAGATAAATAAGCTTTTTTTTCAAAATGAATGTTTGTCACTAAGTTTGGTTACAATAATTAATAAACACAGATCAACTCTCAAATTTATTGATTATTATTATACATAAACATACAATTCGAAAAAAAAAACCAACAACACAAATCGCATGTTTTATTTTATCTATATGAGATAAAAACAATAAATATGTACAATAATTGAGAAAACATGTACATTTTTATGGCATTAATATGACACTATCAACTTTGAAACATTTTATTTAATTTGTTATTCGTGTTTAGTAAAGATGCCGAGAAATTATTCAAAGTTACAAATCAGATTTTATGAATTGTTCAATTGATTGATAATTTAAAAAATGATAAAGAAAAATACAAATATACATGTATATGGCTTAAGAATAAACAATATTATAATATATTGAAAGATTAACCATGATTTACTGACTTTTTCCAGTTAAGTTTTGACTTATAATCGTTGGTCAATATGACAATTGAATTCTTAAAATAGTAGTAAACGTAAAAACTCAGTATTAAAATAGCGCATAAAACACAAAAAAAGAAAAGAAAACAATATTCATAAAATCTGTATTTTTTTTATTAAAATAGGTTTAACAATTATTGTATAATAAACAATTATGCTCAACGTGATCAACATGGTAATATAACAAGTGTCATATTGTTACTAAGTGTGAACAGATACCTTAAGAGGGGGTCCTCGCTAATAGCGATAACATAATAAGGGACAAAATTTTACACAAGTATGGTGTTGATCATGCGTTACAGATATGGATTATAAATGATTGTATACATGTATATCCGTTGCTACCACGATCATAAAGAAATAACAAGTAATATTCTAATTTCTAGCTTGCCGATCAAAGTTATAAATAATGAACAATGTCTTTCGTCCGTTCATTCATAAGTGATATACAATTCTGGTAAAAACCAATGAACCATTGAAAAGTTTATAAGAATATCTTGTCATCATATATCTACTAGTCCGTCTGCACCTGCTGCTTGGACGCCCTTTGATGCTTTGCATCAATGCTTTTCTTGTGATTATTTATAACGAATTTATAATACAGCATGCATATTCTTTAGATAAAAAAGGTAAACTTTCATCATAAATTGACAGCACCCGTGTATATATAACTCTATTAACGTCAAGATTATTTAATGAAAAGCGGCGTAACCAACGATTGTTGCTACTCTTTTTATGCCCTTTATACTTCAGAATTAAGGAACTCATTAAACGTGTTTCTGGTTCAACTTGTTCTGGTTCAACTGATTAATATCAATTCTTCTAAAATCCGGAAAGTAGAAACAAAAAAAGAACAACAAAAACAACAAATATTTTGATAATATAATTATACATGGTACTGTAAAATCTGCAAATTAAAAATAATATTAACAGAACATCTTGCTATATTATATTTTGGAAACACTTTAAACCAAATATCATGTTAGTTATATGTGAAATCAAATTCAATTTACTTGAAATATCATCAAATTGTGTCATTTCATACTATTTTTATAAACTGCATATATTTCAATCTAAACGAAAACTGAACTTCTTTTTGTTCACTAAATTCCAAACTTCTGACACCCGGAAACTGAAAAAGTAGACCATTATTGCTAGTTCCACAGTTACACTTATGGATATGACGCTTGTTCTTTATAGGTTGTATATATAATAGAGATGACAATAAATTGTAAGTGACAATCCCTTAAAATTTAGAATAATTGCCTAACTTACAATATATAATCCAATAAAATACATAAATAACGAACTTGAAAATATATGATTTAACTTAATTGGGATGTCTCAATATAATTAATAATAAATAAATATGTACTTATATAATAATCAACAACCAAACTAAGCGATAGTGAAAAAAACGTTTGTATATCCGGCAGAAGTGTCTACTTATTAAACTGGTGATAGAAAAAGTTTTCACCCCGGATAGAAATATCTGCAAATGTTCCTAAAATAGAGGTACTGCAAAATCTTATGTTGCATATAAGATATGATTTTCTTGCAAGTTGATTATTCAAACACTACAAAAAAAGAGTTGCGAATGAAAAGACATCAATTTAGTATTACATGAAAAATGATTAATTGAGGAAAAACCATTGAAAATATATGTGTTAATCTTACCAATTAACAAAGCAACCGTGGGTAAAAATGTGATTTTTTTAAAAATGCACTAACTAAAACTAAACTTAAGGTTTAACCTCATTTGACCCTGATTTGACGCCTCCAGAATATAGAAAACTGTTTTAAATGAGTGGAGTATAGGAAGCACATTTCACCTATCAGTTACACCAATTAATATATAGATAGCAAAGGTATGTCTGCACATAATTAAAATCGAATACCGCTGAATGTTCTTATATGTTGCAATTTTCGGGGGAGTCCGACGTGAATGAATTTGTGATATCAACCTAAGCCCTTCTCATTATCATTTTGCTGCTTAGAAATTTGAGGACAATTTCATGTGAAATAAACTGAAATAATTCATAAACAATGTGAAAATATGGATGAAAGTATGAGCTTCATGTCCTTCATGTATGCTACAATTGATTTGACTTGTTTCTGTCCGATGGGCAGGTACCCTCGGGACGGATATTCCGATCCGAACCGTAGCATATAGTTGGGATGACATTAACAACTGAATATGAACGTCTGGTTTCAACGACGGTATTTTCAACTCTCAATTCAAATGTATAAAACATAACAAAAAGTGACGTCAACGTCACGTAGCGGTAAAATGCTATGTATCGTAACAGTGCCAAAGTCTATAAGACGTCTATTAATAATAAGACGCATAATATCTAACACATATAACACAGACACGTGGGTGTGGAGCTTAAAATGAGTTAAAATCCAAATTAATTGTATATTTGTAAATATTATTTACACATAATATTTTGGTGCATCGGTGCAATACATAATCTACGATAATGGTCAATTTTAAGGCGGGTTTTACACATTTAGTTTACACATGCGCACTTTGTTTTAATCTAAACTATCAATTATTCGACTTTTTGCCCGTATATTCTGTCCTGTTTAGTGTCTTGCTTGGCTCCTTGCAGGTGGTTCTGTATTTGGGAGGCGCTAATTGAATGTCTCCATCCCTTGTTGATCGTGTTTTTGTTTCTTTTGATATTTTGATAAAAAAGTGACAAAATTTGCCTATACAAATAAAAAGTATATTTTTAAAAAGAAAACAGAGCTATTTCATTGGTAGACACAAAATGATGAAACATGATTAAATATGTAACAAAATATCTCACAGGTGTTTGCGGCTCAGATTTGAATATCCGTCCCCCGGGTACCACCCCATGGGTGGCATAACGACCAGACTTGTTTATGTCTGATGGGCAGGTACCCTCGGGACGGATATTCCGATCCGAATCGTAGCATATGACACTGACACTTGGGAGTGGAGCTCAAAATGCGTAAAAGTCCAGATCAGGTGCATATTTGTCAATCCTACCTCATAAACTGGGCATATGTATCTTGAAAACTTAATTTAAGCTGTTTAAAAAAATGAACGTTTACAATAACGTTTATATGATAAAAATGTTCGCTGGAAAACATCCAGACACCTTCACTCCAATTCCCTAGTATTTTATACCATTTCCAATACTTACACAAAATCGTTTGGTCCATCGGTGGAGCAAATATAATTAGTCACAATAATGGTCAGTTTTAAACTTTATCTTCAACATAAACGACACAGCAGGCGAGAAAAATATAAACACATATCGCCGTTTTACTCCATTTACAAAATCTTCAACAAGGATAAAATCAAACGTGGCTGCAAGCCAAATACAAAGGCACCGCGCTTTGAACGTGAGAACAAGTCTGGCTATAGTCGGAGCCATTCGGTAATATGTTGGTACCCAAAGTAACATAAAAGTTAGAAAAAAATGTTTGATATCTTCACTTTTATTGTTAATTATCTGCCCTTGGATTAAGCCAAAAAATCTAATTCAGGGTATGATTACTCAAAAACGAGAACGGTGATACATTATGCTTTCGCTTAAAATATTCTTGAAAAATGCCAAGTGTAAATAAATTCTATTGTACAAATTAAATGTTGCCTACACATGTATGCCTTTATGAAAACTTCTGAAAATATTACAGTAAATATTTTTCACGATAAACACTCACATTTATGTAATGGAAAACTCTCTTTTGGATGAAGCATCTTATTTGAATTTATTTTCATTGAATACTCCAAATTCACTGGATCATAATCTTATCTGTAGAACATCTTAAAAAATGTAAACTATAACGTTATCCAAAGTCTAAACGCCAGAATGTGCAAATAACGTACGATTCGTGCAAAAATGGCAGTCGTATGCGGTTATTCCTTTTTTCAGTTCGGTTAAATAAAAAAATATATTTTGACCAGTTTCCTTACTGCGTTGGAAATCCTGTCAGGTATCAGGCGTTTATCGCACATTCCTGCGTTAATTTTTGCATGAATCATGCGTTATTTTTACATTCCAGCGTTAATGGATAAACACGGTGATCTACAACAAAAATAGTAGAACTTATATTTTATTAAATTTCATTTGTGGTAAGGTGATAAAATATTTAATCATTTTGTTTGGAAAGAGAACTGGGAAATCCGAACCTCTGTTTGAGCGACTTGGGATTTATCTATCGTCTATCTTGCCCAAAAATAAATTATATTATTCGTACACCTCATGTAATACAAGTTGCGTCCTTAAAATGACGTCATTCACGCGCGCCTTTTATGAATGACTAGCGTTTTTATGATTTCCATTTTTTTTCATTTATGAATGAAGTCCATACGCCGACTGTCGTCACAGAGGGTGATATCTAGCTCTGGGTTCACTGTTTATCGGCAACTGATTAAATCATATTTTACTGTAATATGTAACTAATAATATTCACAGAAGCATAGGTTTTCGAAATTATAAAAAAGCAAAATGGTCGGGCCAGTGTTCTTTGAAAATAAGCGAAATGTCCTTCCGAAGCTTTGTTACCGTAGTTAACAGTTACCCGGGAAGGTAAGCTACAATGCAGCTCCTTATTATGTAAACAACTCAGATGTTGTCAATTACAACTTGCATTGTATTGATTATTGATGTTGTTGGTCATTCAAAATTGTTTCTTTTCTGTAGATTTATGTGTACAATAAAATGTTATTTTCATTGCATTTTGGTCAATTTGAATGGAAAGGTTGGTATATTTTAAAACCAGCAAATGCTTTTGTCAAGAATACATTCATTCTTTAGCGGCACGTAGTTATTGTGACCTCCCTCCGTGATCTCTTAAACAAAGTCCTGCCTTCTCTTAAACATGACTATAAACCAGCAAAATGACATTAATAGTAGTGAAACAGATTCTTCTAACAAATAATTGCAAACGATATTTGTGTTTCTTTCTTATAATTTTAGTAAAGAAATTGCCTAAATGATAGATTAAGGATTGTGCACAAATTTGAAATAATTTAAATCTTAGATGCAAAGAACTTGCCATTATTAGAAAAAGTGTTACCAGAACAAACAAACATTTAATATTATCAGTGTGCCTATTGTTAATATCATTAGGAATGAATAACACAAGCTTGACTTCAAGGTTCAGCGTTACAGGTCGCCACAAACCTATTCGTTTGTTATTTATTTTCCAAAATCCATCAGATGACAATATATAAAGGTTTAATAATATACCAAGTGTTAGCTTGGCCTTAAGGATAAAAAACTTCTTAAGTACCAAATACTTTTGCCAAATAACTTCACAATCTAAAAATAATGACTCTACTGGAAATGATCAATGACCATATTAATGACTTTCACAGTTATCAATGTCAAGCCTGCTTAACCGGGTAGTGTGTACTACAAATAATTTTACACATGCGCATGGTTTTACAAAAGTATTTCTTAATCAATCTTAGAATCGTTGACTGGAAACCAATATTAAGCTTTTAAAGATATAGTGTGAAGCGCTTTGATGTGACGCCGACTTTCAAACTACAAACATTGGTCTTGTATTCGACATATCGTTTTAATACATATTTACCACCACTTGTTCAAAATATCCCCATCAATGCTTAAGTTATATAAAGGACATACACCTACTAACAGTTATATCATGTCTTTATAAAAAATGAAATGTGACTTGACATGAACACTAAATGTTGCAGGTAATTAGTCTTGGAGTTTCAAATTTATTCATTAATGAACTTCCATGCGGAATATCCTCAGAAGATGCTTATTATTATTTATTTCTAAATAACAATCGATAATAACCATTCAAATATGGCACAAATAATAGGCTTAAAATCAATTGTTTTTAAAGTCAGCAAAGCATAATAATATAAAGGTCTGAAAAATGAAAAGTGTCAGCATTTTTGTTATGTTTTATGTTAACACATTCTAAAGGGGTTCATGCTAAGGTCATTTAAGATTTAATTGACTTCTATTTTACAATTTGGTCATTAATTCAATGTAAAAAAGATGCAGCATAAATACTGATATATTAAAATATTATTTTCTGACATATGATTATAATAAGCATCAAATGTAAATTGATCACTTCTGTTTTATGTATACAACAAGTCACAAAAACATATTCTGCCTAATTTATAAGATAACCTTACAATAAACATCAAATGAGAATGTTTCAATTCTGTTTGTTGTATAGTATAAGTGACATAAGATATACTTACAATAAACATCAAAAAAAGATGTATCACTTCTGTGTGTTTTATATAAAAAGTGATATAGGATATAATTACAATAAAGTTTTACATCAAACAAGAACTTGAGAATGCATCACTTCAGTTTGATGTATAGTATAAGTGACTTAAGATATACTTACACTAAACATCGAATGAGAATGTATTACATTTCTTTGTTAAATAGTATAAGTGACACAAGATATACTTACCAAAAACATCAAATAAGATTGCATCACTTCTGTTTGTTGTATAGTATATGTGACAGGAGATATACTTACCATAAACATGAAATGAAAATATATCACTTCTATTCGTTATATAGTATAAGGAAAAAAAGATATATTTACAATAATTATCAAATAAGAATGTATCACTTTTATTTTTTGTATAGTATAAGTGACCTAAAATATACTTACAATAAACATCAAATGAGAATCATCACATTGTTTGTTGTATAGTGTAAGTGGAATAAGATATACTTACATTAAATCAAATGAGAATTATCACTTTTGTTTGCTGTATAGTATAAAAGACATAAAACTTACTTACAATCATGATCAAATGAGAAGGTATCAATTTTTGTTTGTTGTAAAGTATAAGTGACATTAGATATACTGACAATAAACAACAAATGAGAATGTATCACTTCATTTTGTTGTATAGTATAATTGATTAAGTGATACAGGATATACTTACAATAGACATCAAGTGGAAACGTATCACTTCAGTTTGTTGCATAGGAAAAGTGATATAGGATATACTTACAGTTAACATCAAATGAGAATGCATTACTTCTGTTTGTTGTAAAGTATAAGTGACATAAGATAAACTTACAATAAACATCAAATGAGAATGTATCACTTCTGCTAGATGTATATCCACCAGTGACAACTTCTGTAGCTGTACATGTAAACTGTTTATTGGCATCCTCCTTTAAAATGTTGTTTACAGTAAGTTTATCCTTATTAGGAGTGTACGAGTATTTCATTCCATCTGGATTATATGTGTTGTTAACTCTCCAGGAGTATGTCAGACTGAGGCTGTGGTTACTGGGTGTGGTTGTTGATGTACTGCTACATGTTAATGTTACACTCTCTCCTACTGATGGTGTTTTATTAACTGTTACTGTCGGCTTTCTTGGTGTTCCTGAAATTATTTTTTGTTTTACTTTTGACACAATCCTTCCCCACGTGATGACATGTAGCATTTTTCTAGAGTTTAAAGAAAGATCAATCTTCAAATATAATTATATACATTAAAATATTAAGCTTGCTTTAATTGGGACACAAGGTTAGCTTTTAAAAAAAGCTAGTAGCGACTCGCTTCGTAATTTTTTTTCCAGGGGTGTGTTTAAATGTAAAAATGACAGTTTTGTTAGCTGAATGGACTTCAGCGAACATCAAAATAAAAGTTACATAATGAAGCAAGTTTTACAAAGAGGAATATGAGTATATATGAAGATGCATGTAAACAGATAGAATGAAGTCCCTATGTCTATGCACATTTACTATATGCCTGTTGACCTTGACGAAAAAAAAAGTTAAATAGGTAAAATTCATAAAGATGTCTCTTTTATACGAAGTTAAGTTGTAATATGTTATTTAGTATTGGAATGAGTTACAGACACATGTCCTATACAGGAATATATTACTGAAGAACTCTCTTGGGTGTGGGCGAATTTAGATTCATGGGGCATAATTAACATTTGATTTGTACAAATTCTCAAGTCTCGTAAATCCCGGTCAAAATAGACCGGGAGAGACCGGAAACGACCGGATCGGAAAATAGTATATACCAGTAAATACATACACTAAATACCGGAAAGGATAAAATGACCGGAAAAAAAGAAAAAGAAAAATATGCACAGAACCAGATGTACACTTATTTTAATTAATCAAACGAAAACTTACTGCAGAGAAAACAGGTGAAATCGCTAAATCAAAAGTCAGTGTAAATATGATTTATTGAAAAGAATTCATGAAAACAAACATTTTAATCATCATTATATATTTGCGCTAAAAGCAATACTTGCTGTTTTTTAAATTGAAGGTTTTTTACGCTATGTAAGATTAAATTTGATTGACTAAATAAATTTGGATTCCAGTTTGTATGCAACAATAATACTGAAAGTATGGATATTTTGAACAGATTCTGTGGAACTTTCGGCTCACGGATGCGTGTTGTTATGTTATGGAAGAAGGGTATTCAAGTAAAAATTCCATTCATGTAAATTACTTTTTTACATTGTAAAGCAAAATCCCTTCATGTAAAATACTTATTATTGCGTGTACACTACAAGGATACAATGCTAAATTTATATTCTAATAAATTTTTATGCTTTTGCTGTCCCAGTATCTTATTTCTATGTCCCATTTTCTTATGTGTTATATAGAAAATAAAAAAACAACACTTTGCCCGTATGGTTTAAATACTTAGGTTATATTTTAATTTGATCTCCATAAGATGTGTGTACTTTTTATCTTGACAGTTAAATACCATGCTAGACACGTATTCGTTCTTTTTCCTATTTTTTATATATTTGCTATAGAAAATCCTTGTATAACTTTAATCCGTTTACGTGCCGGCATAATTTTATATGTACATGTATGTTACGTTATATTGTATGTACATGTATGCTTCATTATTTTATATGTGCACTATGCTGCATTATTTTATATGATTGCTTTATATGTACATGTATGCTGCATTATTTTATATGTGCACTATGCTGTATAATATGTACATATGTGTTGCATTGTTTTATATGTGCATGTATGTTGCAGTTTAACGTAACGTCATTTTTTCGCCAACGTATGTTACGCTATAATTATTACATCATTATTATTATCTTGATGAAGGTGTTGCGAAACGCGCCGATAACGAAATAATAATATTCGAAAAAACTGCACGTGTTGTTGTTGTTTAAACGTCGTTTATGGAAAATATAAATGATAGTGAAAAACATCATTTTGTCACACAAATCCTAAACGCAATATTTATTATACATAGTTTGTTAGTTTAAACTTTGAATGCTGATGTTTTATCTTTTTACCTTGTATTTCCTTTCTTATGCGCTAATTTGCTAATCACTAAATGTGATTTTCATACGACTCTCTAGAAATGATATATGTAGTCTCATTATTCGCTTATTATAACTTCACTTAGAAGTTATACATCAGGTGTACATCTACACATGCTGACCAATATTCCTGTAAGGTTTCATGACACCAGGCTTAAAATTGTTTGAGCTACGTGCAACAATTAAACATTATGTAGGGCAATAACCAACATTTATGTAAGTAAATTTCCATGACTCTTGGTAAGATACTTTCAGGGCTACGAGAGACACAATTTGAAAATTGCAAAATAATACTTGTTACTAGTAGAGGGCAATTACTCAACCAACTTTCAATAAATCCATAAGCGAACCTAAAAGTGCATAACTTCAAATGCTGACAAACATAAATAACATCTATAAAGTTTCATGACTCTGGGTGATATATACCCTTTGCGCTATGCGCAAAATAAATTGTAAATTGCAAATTTTAATTAAGTTAATGGCAATATCTTAAAAAAACGACTTTATCCACACGCTAAAAGGTCAAACGCATAGCTTAACATGATGATCAAAGTTCCTGTTCAGTTTGCTGATTCCAGCTTAAGCACAATTTGAGCTACACGTGTCAGAAAGTTTATGAACGTACGCACAGACGAGAGGGCAAAACTAACCACCCGCATTTTCATCTAGAGTTAGTACAAATAAATAAGTAAAAGATAATGCGAAAATTACTCTCTTATTTTTGAGGGATTAACACTAAATTCATATGCCCGCATAAAATACTTCATGGTTAATTCGAATAATCTGAACTATTTTTTAGCAATTGCAACAGTTACTGATGTTAAAGAAGGTCGTTGCTTTAATAAATCTTACAACTTATAGCGTCAGATAGACCAATCCTCTATCAGATTTCATTAAACGTCTAGCAAATGCAAACCTGTAATTTTCATAAACGCATAGTAAATTTATCATTACAGACTATACAGAGGATAAAAATGAAATATAACAGATTGATTTTACGTGGTTATATGATGCAAATAAAACATTTAAAACGGTAAAACCGCGTGGGGTGTAAAATCATTCACTACCTGACTGGCGGACTTTTCTGTCACTTCGTGTCATCATTATACATAATAGCTAATAGAGATACATTGAACAGAAACTAAAAGTTTATGTTCAGAGTAACACTTAAATTTAGTTTTTCTGTATTCAGATAAATAAAAACGATGAAGTATCCATACATTTTAGCTTTAATAACTGCACTAGTTAATCAATGTCGGTAACGATCAAATATTTCAAATTTAATTATATAAGCTCACACATTTTTCTGTTGAATATTACCCAGTGATTTACCCACAAGTTAAATATGTCCTCTAGCTAATACTAAATTTGTTATACCTACCTAAGATATACAGACAGTTACATTTTGTTGAGAATCCTAATGTTATCAATGTGTAAATTCCAGCATTGTTTTGTAGGACATAAGTCAACGTGACAACTTCATTGCCAGCAGTTTTCTGTTATACTGCCATCTGGTGCTGCAGCGGGTTTTGAACTCTTGTTACCTGGTAACAAAATTTTAGATCGGACTCAAGTAAGATAAGTTTTACCTACCTAATATATACAGACAGCTACATTTAGTAGCAAACCCAGTACTGGTCATAATGTAAATTCCAGCATTGTTTTCTTGGACATTAGCCAGTGTAACAACTACATTGCCATCAGTATCTCCTGTTATACTGACACCTGGTGCTGCACTAGGTCTTGAACTCTTGTCTGGATTGTATGTTATACGAGCTTTAGCACTACCATCATAAAACCCGACCTCAAACAGTCTTGGTGTAGTTAGATCTGTTAGGTCAGCCACAAATTGAAGAGTTGCATTAGAGTTTACACGACTGTAAGCTTTTCTGATTGGTGATTCACATGGCCATGATTTGACTGAAAAACAAAACGGATTATTTATAGTATAAAGGAACGAATCGCCTTTCAGACAACAAGTGTAAATAATAAAACACATTTATAAATTGCTCACTATTGATTGTTGATCCTTGTATTTGTTTTTTCAACAAAGCAACGAAAGTATTTGAATGTGCAGCAACATACTTTTAGCACGTGTAGACACACATGTTATGCAGGAGATTAATGTATTTTAATAAGAAAAACATGCAATATGTTATAGTTATTAAACGCTCAAAGACTGAACAACATGTGATATGATTATCATCCGGGTTCCATAAAGATTTTTGTTTATGACGTTAATAAAAATGAAGGCGTCATTCCACTTTGCCATTTATAAATGTTTTCACTTTCTTCTTTTTTTGTTGTTGTTGCTTTTTTGATGTTGTTGTTGTTTGTTTTTGTTCAACTGTAAATAAACCAGTGTCATCTCACTCAATTGTATCATGTTTCTAATGTTTTATATCTGTTTGTCATGTTTGAATATTTAAAGGCACTTTTTGAGTATTTGACAACTGTATAAAACAATAAAATTATTTAAACTTCTATTCCTATATGCATCTACAGACAAAAACATGAGAAATAGGAACTGCTGTATGAAAAGGATTGTGAAGAAAATGTTTTGTATTGTGCATTAAGATACGAATATTTACTATGAATTAATAAGGTAGATTCACAACAATCTGTATATAATATCAAACATGAGTACTTTGGGAAAGACCTGGTCACGAATTCCATGTGACATCGAAAAGTTTCATGAAATCTGTGACAATGTCTTAAACAGGATGATCGATGTACGAGGCCAATATATAGCTTACACACAGTCAAAGTATTGGCTTGAGCAATGGCTGCGTACAATGTCTAAGACGACATTATATACCTAGCACTTGATTTAGTGGACATTTATTATTTTTAACACATTGCACAGACAAGTAAAACACGCTTTCGACGTTCCAATCTACTCCGTTTTCCAAATGGTCTTATGAAGTCCTTGATATATACCGACACAGCATGTATGTTTTTGAATAAAGTTGTTAAGTAGCATTTTTTAACAACAATGCCTAGCCATGTCCTAGATCTTGAGGGGGTCTTTTGGTTGGAGTCAGCTTTAAGTTGTTTGTCGGCTGCATTTTGTTTGTGGATAGAAAAGCATGAAAAGGCTTAACCCAAAGAGAGACGTTCTTAACTGGGATACAATAATCTGAATGATCCCGTGAATGGGAATTTTACAAGTCATAGGGATGTCTTCACTATTAACTGTTAATGGTTGTTGCTGCGGTTTCAGATGCATAACGTTAATAAGATATATGACATTTAAATCAGAAATAAGTTTTCATCCACTTTTTTTTTGTTATATTGATTTAAGTTGATAGTACGATTATAATGTACTTACAGTTCTCTTGGCAGTTTTAACATGCTATGGATTATTTGATTTAAAATGTCATAGTAAATATGCTATGATAACTGTTATAGTTTATATAGGAATGTCTTTTTTAAATTTAATTAATGCCGCAAGAATCACTTATATCATAATTGAAGGGTTTAATACAGGTGCATTCTGTGTCTTGTTTAAAAGTTTCTTTAGATTTGTTATTGCAGGCCTTTAATGACATTTACATTTGTTTATCTTGTTTAAAAATATCTGATTTGTAATACTTAGTTTGCACGGAGGCAGAACTAAATTTACACGTGTGTATAGTTCAATTATATTGACCAGATAATTATGAATACATTATACATGAAGTGCTCACTCATTTGAATATTTGATTCCACATCGGCTCTGCCTATGAAATTCACGAGAATTAATATTGAATATATAATTGTTTTTATGATTGATTTTATGTTCATTGGATTAATGATATTTATTTTATTGATATTATTCAATGTAATATAATTATGACTTTTACCAATATATGAAGTATTGAGAAAAGATTGAACGTTCGTGGCCGAAAAGCACCTGCTGTGAGAATAGGTTCATAATATAATATTAAAATAAAACAATACAAACAATATTGAACAACAATAGATTCACGACGTTCTTGACAAGTAGAAATAACAAAAACATGTGTTCTATTGTACGAAAGATCGCTGGGGACATTTCAACTTCGTGAATTCACGATTTCAACTTCATGAATTCACGATTTCAACTGCACGAATTCACGATTTCAGCTTCATGAAGCTGTAATCGTGAATTCATGAAGTTTAATTCGTGAATTCATCAAGTTGAAATCGTGTATTCATGAAGTTAAAATTATGAAGTTAAAATCGTTAATTCATGAAGTTGAAATCTTGAATTCATGAAGACGAAATCATGAATTCTTGAAGTTGAAATTGTGAATTCGTGAAGTTGAAATCGTGAATTCACGAAATTGAATTCGTGAAGTTGTAATCGTGAATTCATAAAGTTGAAATCTTGAATTCATGAGGTTAAAATTATGAATTCGTGAAGTTGAAATCGTGAATTCACGAAGTTGAATTCGTTAAGTTGTAATCGTTAATTCAAGAAGTTGAAATCGTGAATTCGTGGAGTTAAAATTATGAATCCGTGAAGTTCAAATCGTGAATTTACGAAGTTGAATTCGTAAAGTTAAAATCGTGAATTCATGAAGTTGAAATCGTAAATTCGTGAAATTGAAATCGTGAATTCGTGAAGCTGAAATTATGAATTCGTGCAGTAATAATATAAAATCTTTATTTATAGAAGGTAACATACAAAGTTTAAACAGTAAGAAGTATACTTATTTTCAGAATGGCCTTCTGATTTAACAATAACATAGAATAAAAAAGTAAATCTATACAAAATTTAAAATCTTTTTGTATAAACAAAAAACAAAACACATATATATTTATAATATTCTTGAATGTAAAGGTTAGATTAATAATATCTGTCATATTTTGCGGTTCGGATCGGAATATCCGTCCCGAAGTGATCCGCCCATTGGGCGGTAACGAGGCTTGCCGAGTTACCGCCCATGGGCGGGTGACCGAGGGATGGATATTCCGATCCGAACCGCAAACATATGTCAGATATTTTTTCTTGCATATTCTACCAAATTCCATTATATTTTAAATTCTTTATCATTATTTTCAATGAAAATTTATATCATTACAACCGTAACTACTTTCATTCAACAGCGTATGAATTACAAAATCATTCATAACGGTAAAATGAGGTCATCTTTATCGTGCCATTGTACAGCACGCGACTCATCTGGAACCCCCCATGCCAGATGAAATTTCCGGCATGGGTAAAACTAACGGAAACGCCAGTCTGATATGCAAGAAATTTTTATTTATTCATCCGACTGACACTCATATTAATTATAGTAATTGTAGATAAACTTGTAGTGATTTATAAAAAGGAGAAAAAAGAATCATATCATCATTTACAACAATTAAAATATAAATTGGTCAATTTTCATCATGTATCTAACTATAGAAGTTGAAATAAGAAATTCACGAAGCTGTTATCATGAAATCGCGAATTCCGTATGTTGAAAACCGGGAATTCAGGAAATTAAAATAGTGAATTCATTAAGGTGAAATCAATAATTCATGAAGTTGAAATGGCCCTACCGGTCTTTCGTACATTTTTTACTTGATTCAAAGACTCAATTGATATATGGCATTGAGAATTTTGTATCGGGTGAGTTTTTTTATACCGGAAGTTCAAAGGGGGGGGGGGGGCATAGGGTAACTCATTCAAAATAAGAGAGAAAGAAAAAAGAACCTATGATGCTCCCTAAACAGGTTTTTGACACAGAGAAACTACTTCTTGTTGATATCTCTTGAAGTTTCAGAGTTATGTCCCGGACAATTGCAAAGCACAACTATTCAATAAAATCAATCTACCTACATGAAAGTTTCTAAATGATACCTCTTGTGATTTCACAGTTATGTCCCGGACAAAGTCCAGAATGTTGGTATGGAAGACAAAACTGTGAAAGAAAATCAATTATGTATAATTATGTATTAAGTTATAGTAAAAATTAACATTTGTTAACATAAATTCCATAAATAAGTTCAAGGGAGGGGGGTAATTCTGGAAATTGTCATACTAAAGTTATGAACCTTGTCACATAACATGTGGTTAATGATATTTAAAGTATGAAGTGTATCTCTTAAAATAGAGATAAGTAACAGTAAAAAATAATATTTTCAAGGAAAATTCTAAGTTCAAAGACAGATAAATCTGAAAATATTGGAGCTAGAGTTATGAACATTGTCACGTAGCATGTGGTTGATGATAAGGAACATATATTTGAGGATTGAAGTTACCTTAAGAAATATAGAAGAAACAGTAAAAAATAAAACAAAATATTTTTAAGGAAAATTCAAGGGGAGATGACCCTGAAAATATTTGTGCTAGAGATGTGAACCTTGTCAAATAAAATGTGGTTAATAATAAGGAACATATGTTTGAAGTTTGAAGTTGATGCGTGACTTAAATAATTCAAGGGCTTACTCATCCAGTAAGATGGAAAATTGCCATATGACCTATGTTATATTGATGCGACATTACCCTCCCCCAAAAATAAAACAAAAACAATAGATCAAACATTGTATTAAGAGGTTAATACACGGCAGGAGAGGGCCGGAAGGTGATAATCGGCCCACAAAATGAATAATGGACCCGAGGGCTTTAGCCCGAGGGCCATTATTCATTCAGGGCCGATTATCACCTTCCGGCCCTTCTCTGACGTGTATTAATGTCTTTAATACACTTGGTAGATCTAATAGATCTTTTTTAAAACAAAAAAAAAAACAACAAAGTTCTTTCGTTGAAATTCTTGTCTACTCTTCTTCTGTTCTGTACAGAGATGTTTACTGTTTGTGTGTTCAAAACAGTAGAATCTAGAAGCAAGTTTTATTTTCATTTTTTTTCGGAATGAATTTGTCGTAGATTACATCTATTATGTCTTCAAATTTCAATAGTAACAAAAATGTGTTTGTACTAAATACGCTTAAGCTGTCATAATAAA